TGGATCTTGAATTTTTTAAAAAAAAATCTGGTATTTCTCTCATTACTATTTTGTTTCTTTTCTTCCTTTTATCACCACAGAACTTCAATAAGTGAGTTGAATGTATCAGAATCTATTCCTTGTTCATCTACTCATTCTTTAAGTTCTCATCACACCCTAAATCTAATTTCTTTTTTTTTTTTCTCAGTCCTTTTGCTCCTCAGTTTGTCATGAACACCTACGATTATGAAACAGCACCTCCTTCAACTCTCTTCTTTTGGGTTCCTTAAGACGGCATATCTGGGTTCTTCTTCTTCTCTGTTTGTTGTTGTTATTGTTGTTCTCCATGACCCTTATATGTGGACATTTCTTAAGGTTTTCTCTTCAGCCACCTTGCCCTTCAGAAATCTCAAGAACTTTCACAGCATCAACTGTCAGCACTGAGTGACACCCAAGCCTATATACTTTTACATCTTTCTCAAGTCCCAGCTCCTCATCTTCAACTGCCTACTACCCAATGCTTCGTAGAATTATATGCTGGTGAAATGTTAATGCACCCTGACTAGAAAACATAGAGGTATTGGCCCCCTCTGGTAGAGGGAGTAGAAAGTCATCTTTGGGTATCTACTTGCTTTGATGGAACCTGAGCAAATGTTCTAAGGGAGATTACATGTCTTGAGTATCTACTAAATTCTCTATATTCAAATATAAGTACTTTTCTAATAAACTGTATAACATGTTTCATAGATTAGCAATAATTATTCTTTTTGAGACTTATTTTCATTCTTGTTACCCAGGCTGGAGTGCAATGACATGATCTTGGCTCACTGCAATCTCCACCTCCCACATTCAAGTGATTCTCCTGCCTCAGCCTCCTGAGTAAAGTAGCTGGGATTACAGGCGTGTGCCACCACGCCCAATTAATTTTTTTGTATCATTAGTAGAGACTGGTTTCACCATATTGGTCAGGCTGCTCTCGAATTCCTGACCTCAGGTGATTCACCCACCTCAGCCTCCCAAAGTGCTGGGATTACAGGCGTGAGCCACTGCGACAAGCCTAGCAATAATTATTTTAGACAAATGTCTCTTTTGTCCCTTTCTACTTCTTATAGACCACTTTTATGCAACAAAAAGGATTTGGGCCTTGAGAACTCTTTGGCATAATATTAAGGCAGAAAATTGCTGTGTGGTAGATGCTATGAAGGATATAAGATATGGTACCAGACTTAAGAAATGTCACAGTTTAACTGGGAAAACAAGTCATTCACTCTGGAGAAGTGAATAAATCGAGAAGCAAATCCCAAGATAATATCATGTCACAGAGGAGTGAGATGCCAAAAAATGGTATAGCTCTGGAGTTTAGAGAAAGTTGAAATCACTTTCAGGAGGTTGGTGTGTTCAGGAATGGCGTCATGGAAGAGGCAGGACTTAAACTTATTCTTAAAGAAGTATTTCCCAAACTTTTAGCATTCTAGTTCCCAATTTTTGCTATGTGAACAAACTATCCATACTGTTTCTCCCATACTGCTCTTCATGTTGACACATTTTTTTCATAAATACATTTTTCCTTGCCTTAAACCATCAAATCCATGAAATCACAGGTTTGATATGCTTTTGTGTTTGATGTGTGTTTGTGTTTCTAATACATATGAAACATATAAAGTAAATACTCATTATATGGAAATAATTAGTTTTAGAAAAAGACCACTTAAATGGGATCAATCTATCCAAAAGGAATATCAGTCATTCATATTACATTTTGATGCAAACATTTGATTTGGATTTTAATATATAAATGAAACCAAAAATTATGAAAATAAGTAATTTTATTGCATACTTAATAGATTATAAGATGTTGTTGCAACTATGGATGAACAAAATGTTATTTAATTGAATATTGAGTTTTTTCCTGATAAAATAATATAACTTTCATCACATGAATATTAGAAGACTTAAAAATGGACCTCTGTTGATCTTATAATACTCAAATTATTTTTTTGGTAATCTATAATATAATTCTCAAAAATCAGGGAAACCTCTGGATAAAAGTATTATATCTAAAGCTCATAGTATATTAGAGTGACTATTTAGTTGTAAATATATAATTATCCAATATTGCAAACGCTCTGTTAAACAGAGAGTTATATTTTCTTTAAAAGCTGTTTAGTTTGGCCAGTTTCTTAACCTATTTTTTGCATAGTTTCCCTCTCTCCACAAAGGATACCAGTTCTAATGGTATAGATAAAAGAAACTTCAGTTTTTCTTTTTCAAAAAAATCCTACTGGTTTTTATTGTATCTTATACAAGTGGGCCTCAAAGTCTTAAAACAGATTTCTGTTGTATCAATACTACTGAGGTATGGTAAATGCAAGTCCTATTTAAAACTAAAAATGACTTTTTAGACAACTGTTATTGAAAATAAAAAAAGAGTAGTTAACTGTCTTTCTTGAAATTAATTTCATTATTTCCTTTTCATAAATTTGAAAATCTTATAAGGTAAACATAATTTGTTTTTGTTAAGTAACTAGTTTAAGCCACAGTGGGATCAAATTTTTCTAAAGGTAGGTTTATTAGGTTTAATTTAAATAAAGGTTATGAATTCACTTTAATATTATTTTGAATATAAAAATGTATTAATGAGGTTGAATAGTAAAGCAAGTAAAACTATATATCAAAGCAATATGAATAAAATTATGGCCTGTGATACAATTTTATATGAGACTTTGAAAAAAATTATTTTTTTACCTAATAGCATATAGATAATTATAAAATTATAATATACTGGTTTCATGATCACTTTACTAAGCTATAAATGCATTGCAATTTTAATTGTTATTTTGGAACTAAAAATAATAATTAAATGTATTTCCTGAATGTGAAATTTATTCCTTTTGTTGTTGTTGTTGCCCAGTTACCCAATTCTGGGTAGAGTATGATATAGGTTTACATCCATTTTATTTCCAACTGAAATGAGACAATTTCTGTCCTTGTTCTTGGTGCTTCTTAAGAAATACTTTCTTGTATACATAAGAAGATGAACATGGCAGTCCTCCCATATCCTGCTTCAAAAACTGATAAAATACTCAACCCAATGATAATGATTCCTTTTTAAAGGACTAAAAGATCTATAAAAAAATTGCTAATCGGGCAACTTGGACACTCTGCATCATCTCTTGCAGAACCTCTGGTGACCTCTTGTGGAACCCTAGTGTTTCACAGAACCCTATTTGAGAAACTCTGCTTTACGTTTAATGAATACAGGTTAATGTAAACTCTTCTATGTAATTATTAATCTAAGAAGCTTTTTAAAACTGTTTACTACCTGAAGTCATGTTATCCATACCTTGGGATACACTGTGTAAAAGGACAAGTAAAATATGGATATGTTTTAAAAAGGAATAAGAGCATGACAAATACGGAGAATATTAGAACAAAGGTCAATGGGGCAAGGAGTTCCCTAACAAATAAACTGGCTGACATCAACAAAGAGTTCATTAAGAGAAATAGGGAGGCCTAAAGTTGAGGGGGAAATTATGGGTGAGTTGTAGAAGCCTTGAATTAAGGAAGGAAATGGTCTTGAAAATCCACTAGGGTTTTGAGGATTGAGTAAAACTGGCTGAGAGTTACTAGGGGAAGATGAATTGGCTGAGAGTTACTAGGGGAAGATGAATTGGCTGAATGGGAAGAATCCGGAAGTAGACAGGCAAATACAGAAATCGTAGTAAGTTATCCAAGTGTAAATGACAGCCAGAAAAAGAATGGTGGCAATTGAAATGAAGGAATGGGATAAATAAGAGACACATGGTGATAGAGTTGATGGTATCTGGGATCAACCTGATAATGAACATATTTCTTTTTTTTTAATTTATTTTATTTATTTATTTATTTTGAGATGGAGTCTCGTTCTGTTGCCCAGGCTGGAGTGCAGTGGCATGATCTCGGCTCACTGCAAGCTCTGCCTCCCGGGTTCACACCATTCTCCTGCCTCAGCCTCCCGAGTAGCTGGGACTGCAGGCGCCCGCCACCATGCCCAGCTAATTTTTGGTAGAGACGGGGTTGCACTATGTTAGCCAGGATGGTCTCGATCTCCTGACCTCGTGATCCCCCGATCTCGGCCTCCCAAAGTGCTGAGATTACAGGCGTGAGCCACCGCGCCTGGCAATGAACATATTTCTAATAGTGGTCATAGTATTTCCATTGTCAGAAGTATTAGAAATCTGGACTTGAGTGAAAAGTTTTGGAAATCATACTAGGCTGAGCTGTTTTCCAAGACTCACCAGCCAGTCATCCTTCCTGGCCTTGTACCCTGACTATTATTCCTACTATGTCCTGTAGGAATATGGACCTAGCAGTGCCATATTGTCTGACTTTTCTAGAAAAATTAAGAAATTCAGCTACTTTGTGAAATCTTCCCATTTTTAAACATCAACAATTCAACTTTTTGTTAAATAAAATATATGACAGACTAGATCTGGTTGCCAATTTGCAACCTCTGGAAATCTATCTGCTGCTGCTTTTTTTTTTTTTCTTTTTTTGTGTGTGTGTGTGTGAGACGGAGTTTTGCTCTTGTTGCCCAGGCTGGAGTGCAATTGTGCAATCTCTGCTCACCGCAACCTTCGCCTCCCAGGTTCAAGCAATTCTCCTGCATCAGCCTTCTGAATAGCTGGGATTACAGGCGTGCACCACCACGCCCGGCTAATTTTGTATTTTTAGTAGAGACGGGGTTTCTCCAAGTTGGTCAGGCTGGTCTTGAACTCCCGACCTTAGGTGATTCACCCACCTTGGCCTCCCAAAGTGCTGGGATTACAGGTGTGAACCACCGCGCCCGGCCCTGTCTGCTGCTTTCTAAACGTCACCTTGAAATGTACTCAGACCAAGAGGTAATAGTCCCTTATAGAAGCCTGTCTGTGTTATTCCTTATTAGTGGGAAGCTCATAGAAAGGCTTTTTATATTAGCTACTATTTTCCTTTTGTTGGAATGTTGATTTGAAAGTTACAAGCCTTTCTTTGCTTCTTCCCAGCCAGGTCTCTAGACAAACTTTATAACTTTGCTGATTGCTCTGGACTCCACCTGATATTTGCTCTAAATGCACTGCGTCGTAATCCCAATAACTCCTGGAACAGTTCTAGTGCCCTGAGTCTGTTGAAGTACAGCGCCAGCAAAAAGTACAACATTTCTTGGGAACTGGGTAATGGTAAGTAAGGATGTTACTTCCTCTGAATTGACAAAATAAAGGGGAAAAATAAGTTGGCTTGTGATACAGTCTCAATCAGACCATCTCTAGTGCCCTGGCCCAGAAAACATTTGTGATGTTTGGCCACTGAGTTGACTCTCCAAATGGTAAAAGACCAAATAGTGAAGGACAGTAGATTTAGTGAATACACACCATTTGCATCTATAATTATCTCTAGTTACCTCATTCCAAATATGGGGAAAATGCCACAAAATGGGAAATATATAGTGATTTATGACTAACAAATTGATTTTATAACCTGTTTGCACAGCCTGAGCTACCTTTTACAATGTGTGTTCTGTGGAACATTGGTCCTACAAGATGATCCTGCTAAAATAATAATTCAAAAGAGCTTTGGTCAAATATATTTGAGGACCTTTATACAGTATGTGAACCTCCTGAAGGATCACAGTACACATTAGTATATAAAAGGCTATAAGAAGTCTTGCTGCAAAGAAATCTGTTTGACATTTTTTAACCCAGCATTTCTTACACAATTTCACCAAGGCTAGTTTCAAGGGTGTCCAGCCTGTGCTGTCACATAGGGCCCATGCTTAGAAAAGACCCATTTTTGGCTGGGCGTGGTGGCTCAGGCCTGTAATGCCAGCACTTTGGGAGGCCTAGGTAGGTGGATCACGAGGTCAGGAGTTTGAGACCAGCCTGGCCAACATGATGAAACCCCGTCTCTATTAAAAATACAAAAATTAGCTGGTCATGGTGGCAGCCCCCTATAATCCCAGCTCCTTGGGGGGCTGAGGCAGGAGAATCGCTTGAACCCGGGAGGCGAAGGTTGCAGTGAGCTGAGATCATGCCACTGTACTCCAGCCCAGGAAACAGCAAGACTCCGTCTCAAAAGAAAAAAAAAAAGAAAAAAAGAGAAGAGACCCATTATTGCTTTCATTCTCTGCAGTCACCGTCTTGAAATTCTTAATGCTTTTTTAACAAAGGGACTCATAGTTTCATTTTTCACGGGGCCCTACAAATTATGTAGCCAGTCCTATTTAATCATTAAAGTGTGTGTGTGTGTGTGTGTGTGTGTGTGTGTGTGTGTGTAGCATAAGTTATCATTCATTCCATGGAACAATATTCCATGGAGCACAATTTGGAGAAATATTTCCTAAATCATGCTATATTCCCAATGATATATATTTATTTGTGACATATATGTTATTCTGTAGATTTCATGACTGTAATATTGAGTCAATATGGATTATAGTTAAAATTATTGATAGTATAGATATGAAAATGTGTGATTCTCAGATTAAAATACCTTTTGGTATACTTTAGAACAAAACAAACCAAGAATTCTCTTAAAATTACTGATGCAAATTCATCCCAGCATTTTCATTAACAGTTTTATATGTCTTTAGCTAACCCATATTTGTTTGGAGCACTATATGTGTGAGTGTGTGTGTGCCCATGTGTATTTATTGCATCCTGGAATTTGGATTTCTCAAAATAAGATGGCAAGGGAAGAAAAGAATAAATGTCCAACTTTCCTACCCGTAGCCACTAACTGGAATGTAGCTCTCCGTTTCTTTCCTCTTTCTCTGCTTTTCTCTCTTCTTTACCTGTGGAAATTAGGGGATAGTTAGTGACCAAATGGAGACCTGTTGAGTTGAACTGAGGATACCATGACTGTAGGAGGCTCAGCTAGGATAGCCTGAGGGTTTTCATATTCCAGACTTGCCTGAGTATCATACATTTGACAACAAAGCAGGAATGATATGATCAGCTTTGGAGTAGGCCAAAGTATTACATTGTCAGTAAAGTCTTTCACTGATCCCTTTCCATACCATTTTCTATTTATATTTTTTTGACATTTTTTGGTATTTTATGTTTCTACTCATGACCACCCACCTAACCTTACCCTCCTCAAATATCAGGCTCTGCCCAACTTAGCTTTATTCTCCAAACAGAGCAAAATATTCTTCAAACAGGGCATGACACCTGCCGTGAGAGACCAATTGGGCATAATGGTTAAAAGAGATAAGTATCAGACACTAAAGAATGGTAGGTCTTTTGTTGAACTGGAGAATACATGCCCAAAGGCTTTGTTTGGTTTTCTTGTAAAACTATTCTGCCTACATAAAACTGGTTTGTAAAAAATCTCAACTAATAATAGATACACCCAGATTAAATAAAACTTACCTACCCGTGATTGACGGGAATAATTATTCTAGGGTTTTTGGCATCTCTGAGTGTAGGAGCTTGTTAAACTAAATAAATTTACAATTGGCATAATTGGAGTGATTTTGTGGAGGGGGTGGGTTGGAGGAGAGAATATATACATCTTTCCGTATACATCTATTCCAGACAAGTAAGAACTTGCCCCTCCCCATCAACCTCCTTCCTTCAGACAATGCTACATAGTTCAGAAAGGGAGCTAATTACACTTTAAAAAATGTTATTTAGACACTTTAGCCACACATCATTTGGTTCCCATCATCATCTTTTAAAGCGCCTCCTCAGGGCTTAACAACAACAAATAATTGTTTATAAGGAGAAGAAAAGGCACTGACATTGATAAAAAATAGGAATATAGATAGGAAAAGAACAAAATAATTCAATAAAGTGAAAAATATCCAAAAATGTGTGTTTCTATAGGTCATTTTGAATCTCTAGTCAGAAAGTCTAGAGTTAGTGTTTTCCCGTTAAAGTGCATTTCTATTTTTTATGTAACCATATACATGATTAATAGATAATACATGATTATTAATGATAAATAATAAATAATCATTTATTAAGGCTACATTTTAGAGTTTAAAGAATACATTTTAGAGTTTGAAGATTTATTTTGCTGTTTCTTTAATTCATTTTACAACTACTGATAGTTCTTCTTTACTAAAATCATCTCTCTTAAGATATCCAATGTACAGTATTCTGCTCAAAACTATTCTGTGTTCTATATTCAGCCTCTTCCCCCTCAAAATATCTTCATGGTAGACATGTTTCTCTAACCTTCTAGCCATTTTCTGCTTTGTAACCTTATCTTTTTGGACAGAGGTAATCATTTAATCATTATATTCACATTCAGGAAGGGACAATAGAACAGGTCAGTCTTCTTATCACTCATCTTTCCATATACCTACACCATGTTAACAAGTATTTTATCTCTAGAGCAAATCTAGCATTGGAAAAAAACAAAGTATAAGTTTCTTTGATTGTTTTTTCTAGAGTGGCTAAACTTTAAGTGACTAACCTACTTCTTTTCCTCTTCTTTGAAAGCAGTGAATAGTGTGGGCTACAGACCACAAAAGCAAGATATACCCAATATCAAGAGGCAAAGATGAGAAAGTTTAGGATGTTAAAGTATATGAAAGAATGACTTTCTTCGGCCAGGCATGGTTGCTCACACCTGTAATCCCAGCACTTTGGGAGGCCAAGATGGGAGGATTGCTTGAGGTCGGGAGTTTGACACCAGTCACAACATAGCAAGACTCCATCTCTACAAAAAACTAGAAAGTTAGCTGGGCATGGTAGCATGCACCTGTGATCCTGGCTACTTGGGAGACAGGGTCACTTGAGCCTGGGAGGTCAAGGCCGCAGTGAGCCATGATCATGCCACTGCACTCGAGCCTGAGTGACATGGTGAGACCCTGTCTCAAAAAAAAGAGAAAAGAAAAGAAAATCAAAAGCAAAACAAAAAAAAATGACTTTCTTGACACCATACTTTTTTACAATTACTTTCTTTGGATATAAAATATTTCCCGAAATGTCCATAAATTGTAAACTCTGTAACTGATTAACATAATGTTACAGAGTTTTACATTTATTTTAGCCATTGGTGAATTTAAAGTAAGAAAGAACTGGAGAAATTTTGAAGCTGGGACTCAAACTCTGGAAGTGTATATAAATTCTAGTCCAACTCCATTTCAGGGAAATGGTGTTTGTTCTTTAGAGGGCTATACTTAATCACAAAAATTACCTTAAGATAATGCAATACCTCTAATTGAATGAACACTGAACTACATTATGAACTATAAACGTGCTTCCCAAATACATCTGCCCATTTCTATAAGCAAGTAAAAGCTACTATAATTAATTACTGAATCAATCTTATATACTCATACCCATAACCTGACCTATATACATTCGTGCATTATTCTCTTATAATACTTAGTTATATGACTCAGTTCTCTGGAGTCTGTCTACTAAGTAATTTTGTAAAATCAAGTTTCTGACCTTAGAAAGTTGGCGATAATGATTCTTATGATTCTGGAAGAGCAGCTTGATTCATACATTACCTCAATATTTATTAAGCTTTTAGTCTGTGTTTAGGTGGATAAATGTATGATGTATTTATGTATTTTTTTCTTTTCTTTTTTTTTAGCATGTGCAGAATGGGTAGGTTTTTTACATAGGTGTACACAGGCCATGGTGGTTTACTGCACCCATCAACCTGTCGTCTACACTAGTTATTTGTCCTAATGATATCCCTCCCATTCCCTCTCACTCATGAGAGAGAACATGCAGTGAGAACATGCAGTGTTTGGTTTTCTCTTCCTGTATTAGTTTGCTGAGAATGATGGCTTCCAGCTTCATCCATGTCACTGCAAAGGACATGAACTCATTCTTTTTTATGGTTGCATAGTATTCCATAGTGTATATGTGCCACATTCTCTTTATCCACTCTATCATTGATGGGCATTTGTGTTGGTTCCAAGTCTTTGCTATTGTGAATAGTGCTACAGTAAACATATGTGTGCGTGTGTCTTTGTAGTAGAATGGTTTATAATCCTTTGAGTATATATTCCAGTAATGAGATTGCTAGGTCAAATGGTATTTCTATTCTAGATCCTTGAGGAATCACCACACTGTCTTCCACAATGGTTAAACTAATTTACACTCCCACCAACAGTGTAAAAGCATTCCTGTTTCTCCACATCTTCTCTAGCATCTGTTGTTTTCTGACTTTTTAATGATCGTAATTCTAACTGGCATGAGATGGTATCTCATTG